AATGTGAGGTCCCTTCGCTGCCCAATTTGCACGTGTCCCCCTTGGGCGTTATGACCTAAAAGGAGGCAGGGAAATTTTGCCTAATTCATCATTTGTCGTACCCTAACGCGGATTCGGTGAATGATAATATCTCTGCTGAGCTGTGCTTCATTCAATGCTGCTGTTCGCATGGTCAGGGCCGGCGAACCCTGGAGTGTTGCTGGCAAAGTCGTTTCACTTATTGCCCGTGCACCCGGACTGCCATCACATCCTCGGTTGTGTTTTCGATGGCCGGTATTACGTGGATAAGTGCCTCCCGATGGGTTGTTCCATATCCTGTTTTTACTTCGAATGCTTCAGCATGTTACTGGAGTGGGTGGTGCGGCAAGAGTAGGGGATTGACTTGCTGCTGCACTTTTTTGTGAGTGTGCCCGGCGAATTCCCCAGCTTGTCGAATCTTGCTCAACACAGTGGACAGGGTGTTTGGCCGTATCGGGGTTTCCCTCACTCATGATAAGATGGTGGAGCCGGTGACGTGCCTTAGCTTCTTGGGCATAGAGATTCATTTGGTGGCAATGGAGTGCCGTTTGCCTCAGGATAAGGTGGAAGAGCTGCGCCGGGATGTGGCGTTGGCCCGGAGCTTGCGGAAGATACAGTTGTGCCAGCTGTAGTCTCTTTTGGGGGAAGTTGAATTTCGCCTGTCGTATCATGCCCATGGGGCCAGTGTTAAGCAGGCGCCTGGCAGCAGCGACCACTAGGGTGGTGAGGCCTAGGCATTTTATTCAGCTCACGTGGCAGTTGCAGAATAACCTGGCAGTCTGGGATTCCTTCCTGGCTGTGTATAATGGGAGGTCCTATTGGCAAGCGCCCGAGGTGTCCAGTTCAGATCTTCACCTCTATACGGATGCTGCGGGTTCCATCGGCTTTGGGGCAATCTTGGTGTCTCGCTGATACTTGGCTGGATACTTGGTGCGCCTCGGGCCTGACTAGAAACCTTCAATAAAATACACCATAAAGTAAAGTGTGAACATCCAGGAGCTAGAATAAAATGAAGTAGAATAAAATACAAAATAAATAATACAGAATAATGAATAATGGATGGAGTTAAGATAATCACTAATTAATAAATGCAATTTCTCAAATTAATGTATGACCCTTGATATGATAACCATTACATACAATAACCAGTCCAAATATAAGTGTAAGTCCAGAATAAAATGTGAGTCCAAAATGAAGTACAAATCTTATGAGTCTTATATGACTCCAAGGTAAAGTGCAAATCTTATATCCAGTACCTATAGCATAAGTGACCCTAGTCCTGCTTGTGAAAACAACACAGGTTAGATGGTGCTTATGTCTTATAATACATATAGTCATCGAGTGCAGCAGCAACCTTGGGACCGTTCCGGTTGGTGGTTTGGTGGACATGGTCAAAAGGGACTTGTCCCAGATATTGATCTTGTTCCCTGACATCTGTATAATCTGGACGGAAGTAGTGGCTAGGAACTATTGGTGTCAGGCCCACAGCCAAAGTGTGCTGGAGCCTTGCCGCAAGAAGTTCAATAGGCAGGCTTCAAAGTTTGTTGTGGGGGTTAAGTCTATCTCGATTCATTATCAGGTCTTTGAAAAGGAGGTGGAGAATTTTTATTTAGACCGGATGGGGTAATTTTGATGGAGTTCGGGATCGACCTCTTTAATTTGGTGATCCAAGAGGCGGTGGAACAGGCTTCGGGTTGTTTGGGTGGGGCCCCCCGCTGATTTTTGGCATAAAACAGCAGGGTAAGTGGCGGGGGGTATGTCCTTTCCAGATAGGGTGGGAGATGGTTTGCAGGTAGATGAGTAAGGGGATAATGGCCGGGTCTCATCCTCCCCTGTCTCTTATGGTGAACCCTAAGGGGTACCAGGTTGGACGTGTCCCCGCCGAACTAAAAAACGGCTGGTGGGGAGCATTATGGACGGGTCCCCACCGACCTAAAAGACAACTGGTTGGGAGCCCCAAAAAAGGAAGAGGAATTTATTATGCTGAGGGGGGAGGTGAGAGCCTTTGGGAAGGGGTGTGTTAGATTTATCAAGGACGTTTTTGGTTAAATTACTGTATGACGACATGCAACATTATTTATATGTTCATTTATGATCGTTTTACTATGTACTGTTTTATACGTTTGGATGTGTTATACAGTATTTGGTTGTTATAATAAATGCTGTGGCCTGTTATATCCAAGTTTTAGTGTCTGTAGTTATTTGGGGCATACAGTTGCAAGAAAAAGTATGTGAACCCTTTGGAATGATATGGATTTCTGCACAAATTGGTCATAAAATGTGATCTGATCATCATCTAAGTCACAACAATAGACAATCACAGTCTGCTTAAACTAATAACACACAAAGAATGAAATGTTTTTATTGAACACACCATGTAAACATTCACAGTGCAGGTGGAAAAGTATGTGAACCCCTAGACTAATGACATCTCCAAGAGCTAATTGGAGTGAGATGTCAGCCAACTGGAGTCCAATCAATGAGATGAGATTGGAGGTGTTGGTTACAGCTGCCCTGCCCTATAAAAAACACACACCAGTTCTGGGTTTGTTTTTCACAAGAAGCATTGCCTGATGTGAATGATGCCTCGCACAAAAGAGCTCTCAGAAGACCTACGATTAAGAATTGTTGACTTGCATAAAGCTGGAAAGGGTTATAAAAGTATCTCTGTTCATCAGTCCACGGTAAGACAAATTGTCTATAAATGGAGAAAGTTCAGCACTGCTGCTAGTCTCCCTAGGAGTGGCCGTCCCGTAAAGACGACTGCAAGAGCACAGCGCAGGCTGCTCAATGAGTTGAAGAAGAATCCTAGAGTGTCAGCTAAAGACTTACAAAAGTCACTGGCAAATGCTAACATCCCTGTTAGCGAATCTACAATACGTAAAACACTAAACAAGAATGGATTTCATGGGAGGATACCACAGAGGAAGCCACTGCTGTCCAAACAAAACATTGCTGCACGCTTACAGTTTGCACAAGAGCACCTGGATGTTCCACAGCAGTACTGGCAAAATATTCTGTGGACAGATTAAACCAAAGTTGAGTTGTTTGGAAGAAACACACAACACTATGTGTGGCGAAAAAAAGGCACAGCACACCAACATCAAAACCTCATCCTAACTGTGAAGTATGGTGGTGGGGGCATCATGGTTTGGGGCTGCTTTGCTGCGTCAGGGCCTGGACAGATTGCTATCATCGAAGGAAAAATTAATTCCCAAGTTTATCAAGACATTTTGCAGGAGAACTTAAGGCCATCTGTCTACCAGCTGAAGCTCAACAGAAGATGGGTGTTGCAACAGGACAATGACCCAAAGCATAGAAGTAAATCAACAACAGAATGGCTTAAACAGAAGAAAATATGCCTTCTGAAGTGGCCCAGTCAGAGTCCTGACCTCAACCAATTGAGATGCTGTGGCATGACCTCAAGAAAGCGATTCACACCAGACATCCCAAGAATATTGCTGAACTGAAACAGTTCTGTAAAGAGGAATGGTCAAGAATTACTCCTGACCGTTGTGCACGTCTGATCTGCAACTACAGGAAACGTTTGGTTGAAGTTATTGCTGCCAAAGGAGGTTCAACCAGTTATTAAATCCAAGGGTTCACATACTTTTTCCATCTGCACTGTGAATGTTTACATGGTGTGTTCAATAAAAACATGGCAACATGTCATTCTTTGTGTGTTATTAGTTTAAGCAGACTGTGATTGTCTATTGTTGTGACTTAGATGATGATCAGATCACATTTTATGACCAATTTCTGCAGAAATCCATATCATTCTAAAGGTTTCACATATTTTTTCTTGGAACTGTACGTGGTTTGTTTGAGGGGAATATCTCATCCAATGGCCACTACCTACATACATATTCCGGCACCCAGCATCACTACAGAAGGTGCGCGCGAGGGAGCAGTGAGCAGCAGGAAGACTGAGATCCCTCGCTGCAGCCAGGTTAGTCTCCTCCGGCCGGTATCAGGTAAATTTTAGCAGAGTAGGCACCTGCAATGTAAGGAGAGCAGGTGCCTACTCTGCCTTAGTAATCATGGCAAACTCGCGGCTCACTCGGCCGCAAATATATTCATTGTGGGCCTCAAGCGGGCTTGTGGGCCGCGAGTTTGACATGCTTGGATTAAATGGAAGGATTTTGAATTTAATTAAGTACTGTGGATGTTGATTAGCCATTATTTGAACACTGTCACCTCTGCTTGCCTTTTAGATAAGGAAAATGGACAATCATCTTCCTTCGCTTCAGATTTATTTTCCGAATGGCTAAATGTTGACCAGCAATGGCCAATGTGGACGTATCGGGAAGACCAAGCCTTAAACCTTCTCCTGTGTCTTGTGGACAGTTTCTGTTACAAACTTTTTATGTTGTTTTTAAGAAATGGACCAAAAAAAAGGAACAATAAATTAAAGACAAAAATACATTGTACCAGACACTCGTTATTATTTAAAGTGCGTTGTGCACGTTCGATTTAGAGTTGCTTGTTTCACAGTCCTGCTGTCCTGTTATAAGAAATGTGAATCGAGCATTGTTAGTGTCCAATAAATATATGTTGACGGATGGAGTACTAGTCTAGATAGAACTAATGCTCCGCTCACTGCCATATTAACCGCACATATTGCCTTTCTACCAAATAGGAAAGGAAAAAGATGTCCTATCTTGTGCAACCTGTCTGACTGCTCTGGAATGCTGTATATTTTTAAGTTAAATGGGTTGACGTAACTCTCTGGAATTTTCAGATCACACTTTTAGAAGGACTTTACAGGAGATATTGTGAAGCTTCAGATTGACAATCCCTCTGCTTAGTCAACCATCCAGTGTATGTCAAATGATTGGCAGCCGCTGGCAGAGCTTTCACTGTTTAATCCCAGTACTCACAAGTGATTTATCTTCAAAGCACTAAAATATATAATAAAAAAAGAGAGAGAGAGACTGACTGTACATCACGAAGATGGGACCCAAAGATGAACTGTTAAGGGAATGCCTGACACAACAGAAGATTTAGAAAAGGAGAAAGTTCCATGGCAATACAAATCTCTCCATGGGGTATACCACTGGCAGATAGTGGATGTGGCCCATAAGATAAAATCCTACCAGTTGCTGGAAAAAGCAGAACTGAAAGACCGCACTGAGGCACTAATCCTAACAGCACAGGAACAGGCACTCTGCAAAAGATCAATAGAAGTGGGAGTCTTCCACACCAGGCAAGACCCAAGGTGCAAAGAGGCCCCTGCAACAATCCAGCACCTAGGAGCTGTTTGCAAGATGTTAGCAGGAACAGCATACACTGAAAAGCACAACCAAGTGACTGGGATTGTGTACCAAATCATCTGCACAGATTATGGGCTGGACCTGCCTAATTCCATTTGGGAGATACCACAAAGAGTAGTTGAGATCCACACAGACAAGCAAGAACTAAACAACCAACCTGACATTGTGGTGGTGGATGTGGCAATACCCAGTGACTATAACTTTAGGAAGAAGGAACATAAAAAGATGGACAAATACCAAGGACTGAAAGAAGAGCAAGAAAGGATGTGGAAAGTGAAGGCAGTGTAGTCCCAATTATGATAGGAGCACTCGGCGCTGTGACCCCCAAGTTGGAGGAGTTTCTTCAACAGATTTCAGGTGGGATATCTGAGATAGCTGTCCAAAAGATACTGCACAGAACCCTCAGACTCTCAGGTGTCTGATAGAGAACCCAAGAATTAGGAATAAATATACCACCCAGAGGGGTGAGAAAATCAACTGCATTATAAATAATATATATTATATTGTAGTGCTTTTAAGAGAAATCACTTGTGAAAAATGTAGTTTCAGCCAGTTTGTCCGTATCAAGTTCTTTTTATGCCACAGCTGGATGAATCGATCCGCCCGGGATTTACCTGTGGAGTATTATTCAATAAATAACAGGTAAACCGCAGGCAAATTGATCCATTCTGATATGGATTAAAAGGAATATGAATCAGACAAAGTAGCTGAAAATTTATATGTTTATCCCATTTTTAGGTATTTTCTTGTCAATCCCCTGTTATTGGGTGTAGGTGCTATTTGATGCTGAGCATGAAAAGATTGTGCCATTCAGGGGAACCAGAACACTGTATAAAACAGTGAAAAAAATTGCACATTAAATAAAATATTTAAATTAAAAACAGTGAATTTGTGTTGACAATATTTTCCACATAAGTAATATAAAAAAAAAGTGGGTATGTGTTTATGTGACATATCGAGTACAGCAGGTGCTGTGTGTTTGTAACATATCGAGTACAGCGGGTGCTGTGTGTGTGTTTGTGAGAGAGATATCGAGTACAGCGGGTGCTGTGTGTGTGTGAGAGATATTGAATACAGCGGGTGCTGTGTGTGTGTGAGAGATATCGAGTACAGCGGGTGCTGTGTGTTTGTAGCATATAGAATACAGCGTGCGCTGTGTGTGTGTGATAAATATCAAATACAGTGGGTGCTGTGAAGGGCCGCCACCAGAAATTTTTGGGCCCCTAACTCAGCTCAGGGTCTGGGCCCCCTTGGGCCCACCTCCAATCCCGCCTCCAAATCCCGCCCACAGGAATACACACAGACACAAAAACACACACTGATACAAAAGGACACAGATACACACACAGATACATACTAACCGACACACATACTGAAACAGACATACACGCATATAGGCATACATACTGACACACACATACTGAGACATGCACACATATACAGACACACAGGCATACATAGTGACAGATAGACACATACTAACATACATACAGACACACATGCATGAGGACATACACATACATACATACACACAGACATACATTCATTCATACTGGCATACATACAGTGGCTGCACCTGCACTGCACATATATATAGCGATCATCGCTGTATATATGTGCAGAGAGGGAATGTGGGGCCTGGGACTGCCGGGCCCGTGACAACCGTCATGGCTGTCACCCCCTGATGGCGGCCCTGGTCTCTGATGACTCAACTCATCCTCCAAGGAGAACTCCAGATCAGTGAAAACACCACTGGAAACGTGAAAGTGCAAAGTCTTGGACTGCCAGTGGCAAGACGCACCGCAAACGCAAGTCAACGCCACTGCAACCGTCTACCTGGCAAAAGCTTGACCCCTCCTCAGATGAGGAGCATAACCTACCGCATTTATGGTTACTAGATGAATGGCAGACTGAGGCCTATGACCGTGATGGACCCCTTACAACACGCTAAGATTGGACAAGATTGCCTTAACCCTGGAGTTTGACAAGTTTAAGCTGTGTTTATGGCCCATGTGTTTATGACCCAAAGGGCCCAGGGAGACAAACAGGGCTTCAAACGAGAGCAGGACAGACTTCTGGATGCCAGTGGACCCCTGGCATGGGTTATGTACCTGGCAGACAATGCCTATGCTAGAGTTGATACGTTCGTGGATGACATGATGCGCAAATGGGCGCATGATATCAGGGAGTGGGCACAGAGCTGCTTTTGCTTCATGGGCAATATAAATGGAGATACTCCAAGCAGCACTCTTCTGTATTCACACTAAATTGACTGATCTGGGCAACAAGTAACTGGCCCGCAAGCACAGGCCACACTGTTTAGCGGGGCATTTTTAAAAGTACTAAATAAAATACACTAAATAAAACAAATGTCAATGTGTTTACCTCACTCAACATGGCTCAATCCTCCATTCGCAGAGTTTTCTGTGGCAACAATTCATGTTTGTTTGTTTTTTGGCATCTCACCGCCAAGGTTTCACCCTCAAGGAGTGGACAGGGGCCACGGAGTTAGAGGACGTGCTCAATGCAGATTCACCACAAAACCAAATCAAAAATCATGGATACTCTCCAGATTGCAGGCATGTGGTCTACAGACATTTCAAGATGGAGGGTATCCATCTACTCTGAGACCAGTTACGAGTCGGGGATTGGTTTACGCATTTGGATCTGAAGGACTCTTATCTGTTGCCCCTATACACCAAGTCAGCCGCCCCTTTCTCATGTTCCTCTGGCAAGACGAAGAGTAGCAGTTCACGTGTCTTCCGTTCAAACTCAGCTCAGCCTTGTGGTGTTTCACCAAGATTCTGAATCTGATGGTTGCATGTCTTGGAGACCAGGGTATTCACTGTATAATTTACGTGGACGATTTTCTGATCTTCTGCACTAACAAGTCCTCAATATGGGCACACACCCACTACACAGTGGACCTACTGGAGTTGCTGGGCTTCGTGGTCAACCATGACTAATTGGCTCTGGTTCCAGCTCTACAAGCCCAATTCCTGGGGTTCAAGGTGGTTTCGGTCTCTTGCACACTGCAACTACCTCCTTCCAAGGTGGCATCGATAAACAAAGAGATCAGCAAAGGTTCTCAAATGTGACTTTGTGCCACTATGGTTCTTGCACGAATTGTAGGACCACTGTCAATCTCCATTCAAGCCATATATTTTACGTCGGAAGCCCACATACGATCAGTCTGTACGAGGGTGACACGAAGTACGCTTGGAACTATTATGGTGTCTAGAATGCATGCAGGCATGGAACAGTCAGGTCATCTTCAGCAGTTCCCTGGACTTCATCCTGGAGTTGAATGCATGCCTCTGGGCCTGGGGTGCCACTGATATCCACACAGTGTGTGGACCGAACTGGAGCACCACCTTCACATCAATTGCCTGGTACTGCTGGCAGGGTCATTCACCATTTAGAGTATAACGAGGGGGCAGTCCAATTCCTGCATCCATCTACAGATGGACAACGTCTCCACGGTGCATTATATTAACCACCTCGGGGAAACCAGGTGTGCCGGTAATTATGAAAAAGATCTTTGACTACTGCATGCTTTGGAATATCACGCTGATGGCGAAACACCTACTGGGTGTATCCAACCTCACAGCAGACATGTTGTCTTTGTACTGGAGAGAAAACTGTGACTGGAGGTTGGACAGTCTGATATTCCTCACCCTGGACTCCCTGAGAGACCCGTTTCGCATTGACCTGTTTGCCTCTCACACCAATCACTGGATACCGAACGTCTACAGCTGGCTGTCGCATACGGAGAGCCTGGACGTGTTCTTGCAACAGTGACCACAGCAGGGTGCCTACACCATTTCCCTAGTTTGTTATAATCGCGTGGGTCCTCCGCCAAGTCCGGACACAATGGCTCCTGTGGCCAAGCCAACCCTGGTTCCCAGATCTGACCTTTGCAAATTATCTCCTAATGCCGGAGGATCACAACCTTCTGATAGACCCCAAATGGCATGTTGATTACCCATTGCAGGATACTAGGGCTCTCCTGTGGGACTCCTGGGCGCCAGCGATGAGTAAAAGCTACCTATCCACCTGACACTCTTGGTCAGGTTGGCGTTTGGGACGGGATTTCCTCAGGTCTGAATCTCTTGTCATTCCTTTTCTTGTCTGGTAAGTCAAACCGCTCTATCAATGTCATCTGTTCTGCGATTTCAGCAGCCCATGTGCCTTCGCAAGGGCGACCAATTTGTGAGAAACCTCTAGTTTGTTGATTGCTATGGGGAATTCATCTGCAGCGCTGTAACGGAGCTCCCTGTACCCCGCCTGGGTACCTCTGCCAAGGACTGCTTCCTAGCTGGAACAGGGGACAAACTGCAGAACTTCTGACCATAGTCGCCATGGCTTCATTGGGGCCCTGGAACCACTCTCTCCTGGAGCCGAATGGGGAATTTGCTCTAGACGCCACCAGGCACTGGACGACACTCAGTCCTGGAAGCTCTAGTCCTTACAAGGTGTAACGGATCACCTGGCACCCCGACTGGGCACCTCCGTTGACGGACGCTTCCTAGCTGACACCGAGGACCATAAGCACTGCACCATACACCACAACCACCGTAGCTTAACTGGAGTCTCCCATCTTCCTCCCCCCCCCTGGATCAGCCTCTGTCCTCCAGGACTGTGTGGGAAAGACCTCTCCTCCAGGAAAGCATATCAGGAACAGCTCTTAAAAGAGCTAAGTGATTAGAGCTCACGGGAGTATACAAAGTATAGCAATCCCCAGTGTGAATATAACAATAACGAGACAAGGCTACGTATTGAGGGTTATGCAGAACAGAATGAACTGAGGGTTTATTGTCTCTTTTATATAAGTTTTCCAACAAGGTTAACAAAGTTATAAAGCCAATCTAAACACTCTTGTACAGTTAGGCACTCCCAGATAATGTACACAAACACTCCCCTCTGCCTGTGATACAATTACCAAACACAATGGACTAACTCAATTACTCACAGGCAGAAAACACACATTTTTCACAAAACATAGAAAACACCCCAAAACACCACATACCTTACATCCCTGGATGACCCTGATCTGGGTGAACAACATTTCCAAAAATCACCCAGATCAGAGCAGGGGTTCAAAAGTTTTATGGAAGTCACATTTGACCGACCGCAAGCATGGTTTTCATGCCCAAAATAGTTCTACAGATTTAGGCTGTGTGGCCGGTCTATCTTCTCCTCTATCCTGGAGATAATTGGCTTAAGCGGCTGTGGTAACTAAATTATCTCCAGGTGCAGTAAATATCTCTAAGTCAAAAACTGTTACAAAAACCACATAAAAATACATAACTCTTATAATACAATGTTTAACATATATGTCCAACAGATCACCAGTTAACTTGGATCTGAGCGCTCAATGTGTCCAATGTTAAAAGTGCACTATAGTACAAATAAGGGTGGGGTCAGAAAATAGCAAGGGCTGATGGGAGATTGAGGAGGGACAAAGCAGCCAGTTTAAGCAGGCAGTGTCCCTGGGACAACGCCCAACTGGAGAACAATAGGACAGGAAAAAGGGGGAGGGGAAGAGGCACATTTTCCAATGGAGGTCACCTTTTAACATGTCTTTTAGCCATGGGCCATAGTCACAGGGCAGGAGGCTGGCAATCAGGCCCCTCCAAAAGCCAGTGGCGAAGGGTAGTTCGTCACACAAGGACTTTCCCAGTTGAATCCTCCACACTGAAATAGTGATTAAAGAGTAGCCCTTTTCCCTCCCAGTGACCAGACAACACATAGTTCTGGGAGAACAAGCTGGAATGCTTTAATGACAGTCACAACTGGCCTTATATACATGTTCCCATGCAAGGGGCACTCCCCCCCTGGACCTGAGTGTAAACCACAGTAGAAACAAACACACAATTACATTGGCTCTCAGATCCAGGACACTCCCATACATAATCCCTCCTCTGTGCCTGGGAGATAATTGGATCAGGAACTGTACTTATCTAATCCTATTATCTCCAAGCACAGAAAAAACAAACATACTTTTTCCCCAAACACCCCAAAAGTACTCTAAAAATACATACAAAACCCCACAAAAGGATAGATCCACTAATAGTGCTGATCTGGGTGACCAACATATCCAAAAATAACCCATATCAGTTCAGGGGTTCAGGAATTTCCTGGAAGTCATAATTTGACCAACAGTGCACATGGTCCCATGCCCAAAACAGTTGCATGAAATCAGTGCTAGCGTTTGGTCAAGTTCAGTAGTCCTTTACAGGTTTCACGCCAGGGCCCATAGTCTGTGGGCAGGAGGCTGGCAAGCAAGCTCCTCCAGAAGCTCGTGGCAAACTTATGTGGGAAGGGGAGTTTGTCACATATTTCCCCCCTCCCGAAAGGTGGCCTTTCCCAAACGGCGTAGTTGTCCAGAAGGCCTCCTGCCACAAGTGCCCATTTGTACATCCAGTGTCCTGCGTGGAAACAACTCCGGCTCTAGGGGGTAACTCCTGCCGCTAGGGGAGAGGGACCAGTTGTCCCTTCTCCCTGTAACCCATACTGCCGCTGGGGAGAGACATCTGTGAAGTCATCTGTGCTTAATGGGCAAAGGCCAGTGGTGCTCTGCCCTTTTTGCCAGCGCTTCAGCTGGGGTGGCCTGTTTGTCATCAAGCCCTGGAACTAATGGGCCGGTAGGGCAGAGGCCCGTTGCGCTCTGCCCTGATGCCAGCTGTTTTGCTTGGAGGATGTCATCAGAGGCTGTAGTTCCCTCCACTGCACCTGGAACATGGTTGGGATTCCGCAGTTGGGGATCTGGGCAGGTATCCCAGCATCCCTTTAGGGCTGGTGCAGAGACCCCGGTCCCATCTTCACCATCCACACTAGGGGGCTTGTCTCTGGACGACAGCCCCAGCTACACTCCCTGTATCTTTCCTCCGTGGTTGTGGAGAGGGACCAACTGTCCCCTCCCAAGGTGTCTCTGGCTGCCACTCGGGAGAAAGACCGTTTGTCTCTTCTAACAATAACACACTCTGCCGCTGGGGAGGAAGGATGACACTTCTCTCCTTGTAACTCGCTCATTCGCTGGGAAGGGGGACCGACTGTCCCCACTCTTGACATCTCCATCTGTTGTTGTAGATCTGGGCCGGCTGCCCAGTATCCCTGTAGTGCCGGTGGAGAGTCCCATCACCCCCTGCCAACTGGGGGTCTTCCCAGGACCAGTCAATAAGGTTTCTTATCTCAGGGGCTGGTTGGGACGTAGCTGGTACAGTACCCGGGTGTCCTGATGACCGATTTAGCTGGTGGGGAGGAGGGACAAAACAACGCACCCGGTTACAGTCCATAAGCCCCATCATGTTGGAGACAGGTGGTGTTACACTTTGGAGCAAGCGAGCATAGTCCTGTTCGAGCTCACTCTCCAGGTTAACCTAGTAGGACAAATCCTGTTGTAATTCTGCCACCAAAGTAAGCCCCACGCTGACTTCCCGCTTGTCGCGGATACACCTGTAGTGGTTACTGTCCAGGTTTTCAAACCCCAGGGGATCCTCAAAAGCCTCCCACAACAGCCCAAGGCCCCATGTAGTCCTTTCCCTCAGGGTGCTGCCATGGATGTAGCCCTGTAGGCCTGCATCCAACCATAACTCAATTTCAACCAACCGCTCCAGCTCTCTTACCCACTCCTCTAGGGGCTGTTCTCCTAGAAACGAGATTCGTAGGTTGAATTGGTCCCTTTGGCATTGGTTGGAATCTGGGAATATTTCTCCAAGGACCCCCACCCAGAGTTCGGTTCGGAGCGTCACCCTCCATTCCAACTCTTTTTCTGCTGAGAGAGGGTAATCCAAACTGAGCCTAACTTCCTGTAACTGCTGCTGAAGCTGGGTGTTGATGCTGCATACTGCCCAACGGTACTTGCCTCCCATCTCTGAAATAATGCTGGTTTTCCCAAGGCTAGGAAGCCATCTCACCACTGCCACTAAATGTAACGGAGCTCCCTGTACCCCGGCTGGGTACCTCCTCAAAGGACCGCTTCCTAGCTGGAACAGGGGACAATTGTTGGTTAATTAGCTATTGTTTGCAAATAAGCAGAGGCCTACCCAGGTGTTAAACACTCCTAGTGGGTGGTGACTTTAGGAGTTATATAAGGCTTGTTGTCATTAGCTTTGCTAAAAGAGCTTCTAAGTGCTGCTTCTTAGTGTGTGATTGGTGATATTCTGGAGAGGTTTACAGAATCTTCAACTCTCTAAGATTTTGTGAAGAGTTTCTTTTCTACTGTTACAGGTAAGATTCATCTGTAGGAAAAGGTTACTGATTGCCCAAGGTTTGAATTCCTGTTGGTAATTATAAGGCATTTGATTTGATTAAGCTAGTTACTTGCTGTTGATTGCTGGTTAATTAGCTATTGTTTGCAAATAAGCAGAGGCCTACCCAGGTGTTAAACATTCCTAGTGGGCGGTGATTTAAGGAGTTATATAAGGCTTGGTCTCATTAGCTTGTCTAATATGGCTTGGTGCTACTTCCAAGTGCTGTTTCTAAGTGTCTAGTTGGAGATATTCTGGAGAGTTTTACAGAAGCTTCAACTGTCTAAGAGTTGTGCTAAGAGCTTTCTTTTCTACTGTTACAGGTAAGATTCACCTGTAGGAAAAGGTTACTGATTGCCCAAGGTTTGAATTCCTGTTGGTAATTATAAGGCATTTGATTTGATTAAGCTAGTTACTTGCTGTTGATTGCTGGTTAATTAGCTATTGTTTGCAAATAAGCAGAGGCCTACCCAGGTGTTAAACATTCCTAGTGGGTGATGATTTTAGGAGTTATATAAGGCTTGTATGTGGCAAACCCTGCCACTTGGACTATCTATCCTGAGTGAATAGATACAATTCACCAAGGGAATAACTACACGAATGGACTGTTCGAATGTATGAAACTACCGAACGGAGGACCACCCCGGGGTGGTCGTGTGTTTCCAATTAACCGAAGGATACATTGTTGCGAAGGGAATTAAGTACCTGTATGTGTGGCCGCCATTCGACATACGAACACGTGGCGGCGGCCATCTTACGCACGAACAGCGGTACTTGGTTGTCGAACGCCTGGAACTCAAACCGGGCATTCGACTAACCAAGCACCGCTGAGACCTCCAGCGTGCTCCGACAATGCAAAGCTAACACACGAACGCCCCGGCGTTCGGTAGATAGATTCCCCTAAACGAGGGGAATCATACGAATGGTAGTAATCATACGGATGGCTCACCGTTCGGTATTTTTGGTTCACTGAAATAGACCGACAGCAGGGCCAGAATGCATGGAACTGTTTTCGGCTACTGAGCCCCTGCGGTCGGTCAAATCTTTAACAGGCTGTAACTCCCGAACCCCTGGTCCGATCTGGGTGAATTTCAAGTATGTTGCTCACCCAGATCAGACCTTATTTGCCCCTGTACCCCCTGTATTTAGGGAACATCCAGAAAGTGGGGAAAACTCTGTCCCCACTAATCTGGTTAAGTGCTAATCTAAGGGGAGGAGGGGGAGGGGAGGTGGCCGGGTTACAATTGGTTACTGTACTGATTATGAAAGTTACCTCCCTTGCATGGGAGAAATGCATAAAAGCAGAACTGTGATTAAAGCTGTCAGTTGACTCCCAGACTATGTGTCGTCTAGTCCTTGGGGAGGTGGATTATGTTGTGTTCCTGTGACTTTGTATGCTGAATCTTTGTTCCCAGCGGAGAGCCCTTGGATTAACCCCTGCTCCTCCGCTACATTGTAGATATTAGCTTGGCAGCTTCTTCTAAGTGCTGCTACAAAGTGTGTGATTAGAGATATTCCAGAGAGAAACTGGAGGTAATCTGAGGTATTCAGGAGGACAAAAAAATAAAACATTTAAGATTCTTTTGATTTAAATTATTCACCTCATTAAAATGGCAGACTTAGTTCAGTGTAATAGTTGTTATGCATTTGTTTCACGTTCCACTTTTTGAAGATTTGGATGCAGTCTAATCTGTAGACAGTTCTCTATCTTGCGGCAGGAGATTGTATTTTTGAAGTCTGAGATTTGTAAATTATCTGGTAAACAAACTCAGGCTGGAACTGCTGCAAAGCCACTGCCGCAAAGACGTACTAGGAATGGCAGATGGATTACTGTAGGATCTGGTAGACTTAGATTTGTGGATAAAAGTCATATTGCAGTCTGTTGCTCTACATAATTAATTTTCTGCACTTTCAGAGTGTAATGGAGTTATGGAGACATTCTCAGGCACCAGGTGTAGTGGTGTTGTGGAGACAGGCTTAAGCACTGAGGGTGGTGGTGTTGTGGAGACAGGCTCAGGCACTGAGGGTAGTGGTGTTATGCAGACAGGCTCAGGCACTGAGGGTAGTGGTGTTATGGAGACAGGCTCAGGCACTGAGGGTAGTGGTGTTATGGAGACAGGCTCAGGCACTGAGGGTAGTGGTGTTATGGAGACATTCTCAGGCACCGGGTGTAGTGGTGTTATGGAGACATGCACTGAGTGTAGTGGTGTTGTGGAGACAGGCTCAGGCACTGAGGCTAGTGGTGTTATGGAGACAGGCTGATGCACTGAGGGTAGTGGTGTTGTGGAGACAGGCTCAGGCACTGAGGGTAGTGGTGTTATGGAGACAGGCTTGGAGACTATGGTGAGGCCTAATAGAAAGCAGTTGTTGTTGGGTGATTCCATTATAAGAGGTGTGGAGATGGACAATGGTGGTCTTGTGAGGTGTCTTCCCGGAGCTACTGCTCACAGAGACAGGAGACGTATTTGTAATAGTGTTAAGCGAGCAAAGCAGGAAGGGGAATTGGATGTACTTTTCCATCTAGGGACAAATGACTTGGCTTGCAATGAGGTTTCAGAGGTAAAGGAAGTTTTTAGTGTTTTTGATATTCTGCAGGTTGCTTCCACACTGTCATTCTCTGAAGTTCTGCCTGTGCATAACACTCAGAACGACAGGCGGATGCGTATTAGGGACTTTAACTTGTGGCTTGGTGAATGGTGTCGGGAACTTGTGGCAATAATGGTAACTGATAATGTAGATTTAGTCGCTGTTACTGAGACATGGTATAATGAGAAAAATGACTGGGACATAGCAATACCAGGGTACTCTTTATATAGAAAAGACAGGGAAGGCAAGAAATGGGGAGGGGTGGCCCTGTATGTGAACATAAAATTGAGCCTCATAAAAGTTAGTGAGGCAAACAGAGTCCGTTTGGGTTACATTAGAATTTGGTAATCACACAGTAACTCGTGTAGGTGTGATTTATAGGCCCCCAGGACAAATAAAAGAGTTTGATAATCTACTAGTTGAGGAAATAGCTAATATGACAAGTTAACATTTTGGGTGACTTTAATCCTGATGTGAACTGGAAATCCAAAATAGCTGCTTGTGCCAGGAGCACACATATTCTAAACTCCCTATTGGGATTGTCTCTAAAACAAGTCATTGAGGAGCCAACTCGTAAAGAGGTCATACTAGATTTAGTGTTAACAAATGGAGATTTGATATCAGATATTACTGTAGGTGAAAGTTTAGGATCCAGTGATCATCAGTCAGTGTGGTTTAATATAAGAACAGCGACTGAGTCACACCACACAAAAACAAAAGTTTTAGACTTTAGA